AGGCACACAGAGAGAGAAAAGGAAAGGAAAGAGAGAGAGGCACATCACCAGCCACGCCCGCACGCAGCGAAGGAGGCAGGAGGGAAGCAGCACGGCAGCCACACCGGGCACGGCGCCGCGGTCCTGCCCGCGGTGAGTCGCACGATCGCCGTGCAGAAACAAAGTGAGCAAAAAAGAAGACTTACGGAAGAGCAAAAACAATTAAAACAGAAAACGATGCAGGCAGACAAATACGGCTGGCCACGCACGCCAACACCGCGCCGCGTGTATTTTTGCCTCCACACACAAAAACAAAGATATATTATCGCTCCACCCCAATACGTCCCCTCATTGTCCACGCAGCGCTCACTTTTTCATTGGGGGCACCGCAGCGTGCCGTCGCCCCGCCCACCCACCGCCTCCTCTGCGCGGCGCACGAAGAACCGTCCGCTCTGCGCGTCTCTGGGCGGGATCTGCCGACAGCCGCGAGTGCCGCCACCCCCTCCGTGGGGAGAGTGGGCAAAGCAAAGCAAGAAAGAAAAGTATTTAAAAAAGAAAAAAGGAAAGAATTGTTCCCGGCGATCAACCCAACGGGAGAACTCGCTCATGACCGGGAAGCAAAGACGATCCGCGGCGGATCAGCAATCAACTTGGGGAGGGACGCACACGCATTCCCTCTGCGTGCCGCTGCCCAGCGACGCCACCGCCGCTCAGCACAGCGCGGAGAGGCCCCACAGCGCAAGCAGAAGCAGCGAGAGCACCCCAGACACACGCCCACGCGCAGTGCCGTCGCCGCCGCCAGCCTCCCTCTGCACTGTGCCCGCAGCCTCCTTTGCGAATGCGGCAGAGGCGTTGTTGGGGTCCAGCGCCGGAGCACCGCGCGGCACCGACGCATCCCCCGCAGAACTCCCAGCCGCGTCGGTCGTCGCGGGGCCAGTGCCGGCTGCCACTGACGGCCCCTCCGCCACGCCGTGCGCAGAGTTCTTCAGGCCGCTGACGGCGGATGCGGCAATGCGAGGCACCTGCTCCGGTTTCGGCGCCTTTACTCTGGCCTCGTTCTCCTTCCTCTGCAGTGCGGCAACCTCATTGGGGACAAAGGCGCGGTTGAACAGCTGGGCGTTCTTCACGGTCACGCTGCCGCCGGCGTCACGCATGCCGTCGTCCGCCCCAAAGTAGAAGTGCGCGATCTCCTCGCTGTCCTTCTTCGCCAGCGCCGCGGCGTCCGCACCCGCAGGCTTCAGTGGCGTGCCGTTGACGAAGAAGGAAAAACTGCCCTCCTGGAGTGTGAGAAGCACGCGGTACGGTTTACTGGGCTCACACCCTGCGGCCTGCGCCACCGTCTCCCCAGTCCGGCTCTTCACCACCCACTTTTTGTCGCTGCTGCACAACAATCCAAGGCGGTTGCCTGCGCTGTCGGTGCCGTTGAACCGCACACCAAACACGGAGGCGCCGTCTTTCGGGTCATTGACGGTCACTGTCGCCAGCAGAGCGAAGTTGTAGTTTGCGAAGTGGTACCGCTGGTTCTGCCCCTGCGCGCCCACGGGCCACTCGGCGCGTGAATTGGCCCCGCTGAACTCAAAGCCGTTCGTGACCTTCGTCGCGCCGCTCACCGCTGCGTCCACGCCAAGGTACTCGTCGTTCCAGTGCGTGGCGGAGCCTGCATTGGACAAAAGCCCGACCCTGCGGGCGGAGCCGTCACACGCGCCAGCCGCACCCAAGGACCTGCAGGACTCGGATAAGTTATTGTCCAGCCCTTCCCACTTCGCCAGCACCTCCTTTACGCGCTCCAGCTGGTCGTCCAGTCGCACAAGCACAAAACGTTGCTTGCCGACCTGCTTCCGTTCGTAGAG